CCTGTTTTCCTGTCAGAGATACAAGCAGAGCTGAATGCTGGAATACAGTTGTGTGTTCATCCTATCCCAGGAACAGAATGAGAATAACGATCCCCATCCTCCGGGGCTGAAACACAGTCAAATCACAGCGTAAGGACAGAGCAGATGGTTCTCTCCAGCAAAACTGTCAAAAAAGGTTCCAAGTTTTTCCTCTGCCTATAGAGCACTCATCCCTCTTTCTCAGCAAATGCAGAAACTGGTCTAGTGTCCTGGACTCTGCATTCCCATGATAATTATCTGGAAGCTTATTTTCTCGACTGAATAGCTATTAAACACCTCTTACTCATTTGACACTTGAGGACTCACCTCAGCCTGGCATCTAACAAGCTCTCAAAGTCTGCTAAGTGTAGAGCTCCTAACACAGATAAATATGACTCATTCTTGTAGCTTATAAAAATGCATTTGAGTACTTTGTGGTAAGTGGTAGGTACTCACAGGAGTCCTCACTTGAGTTCACAAACAACCTGGGGAAGCAGATGTGTTAATGTTCCCAGTTTAATAGGTAAGGAAACTGAGGCCTAGAACATTCAAATTAATTTGTCTAAGGCCACAAAGCAAAGAACTAAATGAATCCAGATTTTCTTACTCCAGTTAGCAATTCCTGTGCAGCAACTATTTCATACAAATTCAATCTTATTCATGTTGTACATAATGACATACTTGTTAGGTAATTTAAGAAAGGCAACAGGACAAACAATTGGCAGAACTGAGGAAAGCTAAGGCTTCCTTTTTGTAAAGGATACTTAAATTCAAGATATGTTCAGCTTTGATGTCACTCAACAAAGACATACTACTGAGCTTGGAAAGAGCCAGAGTGACGCTCACAAGTCCCACATCAATAAAGGAGGGGTTGAACTGTCTAACCTCTGAAGTCCTTCTCTGCAGCTCTAAAATCTGAGTATCCAAGTAAATGCAAGAAGCTGTTAGAGATGTCCCCTAAGCAGGAATAATACAGACCATATCCCCTGGACATGCAATCAGGCTCCTATTTTCGTCAGGTAGTGATTTTTTTTTTTCCCTCAAGAGAAATGTTACAGAGAAACTCAAAACTCACAAAGCAGTAGCTACTGTTTCTGAAGCCAGGGTGGAGCCTGCCTGTTCTCTCTTACCCATCCTCTGGGGGAGCAGGCCATGTTTGAAAACCAGTGGTTAGGGCTATTAAATTGCACCAATTCTCTAACACCATTGTTTACTATAAGATCTAGAACTCTGTAATACACACAACCTCCAGGGTTAAAAACAGGAGAAATTATCACTTACCAATATGCAAAGGACTAAGCAATTTCACCTTAGTCTCAAGATACTGCAGCAAAATCCAGTTTATACTCTGCCCTAGTAAATGAGGAACATTCATGTCCACTACAGTGGTTCTTAATGTGGGATGTGGAATGGTTCCTGCCCCCAAATCCAGAGGCCATGGAAATTCTGCTGTCAGGTGACAGCAGAAAAGGTGGTGGTAGTGGATTACACTGGACAAAGATACATGGGCGATTCTGATTTGGTGAGAACTGTGGCCACTCCTTGTGGGGCACACACCCAATTAACAGATGGGGAGAAAGCGGTTTCTTTGTAACTTTCACAGCCTTAAAACACTGATTCTGCAGTAGGACAAATCCCTACATTAGAATGTAGTAGGAGCGCCAGGAGGGAAGCTCTTTTGACCTAGGTAGCTGAGGCTGATCCTTGGGGTGCTAATTCCTGGCACCTTGTATGGTGGTCTATAGTGTCACCCAAATCTACTACATTATAGCAAAGTTACTCCAACCTTCTTGCTACTTGTCCCATGGAGATTATTAGAAACTGTTACTTCTAGTAAATTCAGATTTTTCTATTTCATCCTGTTGTCCTGTGAAATAAAGGGGATCAAAATGACAATAAGGAAAATGCAACCTAGGTTTCCAGTGACAGTCTGCATAGCACACCATGCACAGGTTCTACCTCTGACATCAGCAGATGGCAGAGTCACACATACCCTGGCCCTGGGTGCAACACTGACAACACCATGTGTACTTTGCAAATCACTCAACCTCTCCAAACCTCACACGAGGATTTAAATAAATAAATAAATAAATAAATAGAAATAATAGTGTAAAGAGCTTGGCAAAGTTCCAGGCACAATCAGTGCTCAGTGTATGTCAGTAACTGTTTGACTTGTAACGTCTTACTCTTTCTTTTGATGGTCCTATGATCAAGCTAGATAGCCTGTTTTCAAACAAGTCCTCTGTCTTCAAATTGCCAGCAGCTCCAGGTAATGGAGGAAAGTTGGACAGTCCCAGTTCAAAGCTTGGTGATGGAGGCTTTGGTGGTGTTGGAGACTGAGTCTGGCTGCTCTGAAACAGAACAACACCCCACAAAGTCACATGAGTGTGAAGAAAGAACACAAAAGAGTAAGACAAAGAATATTTGGATTAAATATCTGTCTGAAAAAAGTCTGCAAACAATGAACAATAATTCCTGGAGTGTACCAAACTTGTAAGGGCCAACATTTCCCAGAAACAACAGGATTATTCCCTATGAGAGCAGAATCCAGAAGAAATGTCAGAACTCGAGTAAAAGCAGATTAAAGGATGAACATAGATCTAAGCTAAAAGAATACAACTATTTTGGGCAATCCTTAAGTGGTAGAAGTGCCCACTTTTACCTGATTATGTTCTCTCAGAACCAGACTTATACTTAATTGGTTTTTCTTTTTTAAAATAATACTTTAGTTGTAGATTAGCACAATACCTCTATTTATTTTAATGTGTTCTGAGGATCAAATCCAGTGCCTCATTTGCATTAGGCGAGCACCCTACAACTGAGCCACAACTCCAGCCCCTTAGATTTCTACTTATTAACCACTTGCATGCTCCCTACGATCTAGTAAAATGAACACAGTGCTCAAAATAATCCAGCAAAGTTCTAAGTTACACACACAGACACTGAGACCTCAAAGCAAGTTTTTTTTTTTTGAACCAGGGATCAAACCCAGGAGCACTTTACAACATCTCTAGCCCTTTTTGTTTTTATATTGAGAGAGTCTCACTAAATTGCTTAGGGCCTTGCTAAGGTGTTGAGACTGGCCTTGAACTTTTGATTCTCCTGCCTCACCTCCCAAGCTGCTAGGACCACAGGTGATGTGCCACTGTGCCTGGCATTCAAACCAGTTTTAGAGGTTCAAAAACACCTATTCAAAGAAAAAGCATTTTGAATCTTCACAAAAAAGTTACTAAATCTTAATTTTTAGGGGCAAGAGAAGACAGTATGTTGGAGTTACAAAAGTGATTAGGACTTGACTTTGAAGGCAGAGTTTAGGATTTGAATGCCTATGGCTGAGGTAAAACTGCTGTTCCTGGTTGGGCTCAAATGTTCACATATTTGTACCTGTCTGTAAATTAAAGTATGCAGTTACAATTGGTGTATTCTCTACAATAAATGTAACACATGAGTTATATTCCTGAACTTGTAAGTGGTTAACAAATATGAACACATAAATCAGGAAAACAAATGAACCAGAAGTGGAATGAAAATGCTTCAGAGCAAGAGTGTAGAATATTTCATAATGGACAGGCAGATGACACTCTTGTTAGTCTAACTGGCCATAGACATTCACTAATTACAAATGTAACTAACCACCATGAACTGCATTGCCAAAGGATTAGCCAAAAACTAGACTGACCTTATTACCGGGAGAATTTCTGAGTTCTATAAGAGAATGTATCTTTTGTGATGATAAAGCACACACACAATGGCTAAGGGGGCTGAACCAAGAATTTTCTCAAGGTTTTTTTCTAGTTCTCCAAGTGTGGAATTCTGTTATCTGCAAGTCCACTGGATATCTTCCTTAAATGACTTTATATACAATGGTTTTGCTACAATATTCTCCTATCACTGGGGTTGAAAAGTCCCAGCTTCCACTTTGAATCCCAGAACAAATATATTCCACAGGACAGACTCTGTCTAATCCATTTAAGCAAATTGACCACATCTCATATACTTAGCACACATAAGAACTTATACTTAATTGGGGATCTGTCCTGTCAATTATAGCAGAAGGCAATGATGTTTTACATATACTGTGTAGATGAGAAAATGTTTTGAATGAAAAGAACTGATGAACAAATTTCTATACTGAATCTTATTTTACTTGTTTAAGGGCTCTAATTACAGCAGTACCTCCTTACTGATGATTTTCCAGTTTCCATTACCTGTGGTCCAAAATATTAAAGAAAATTTCAGAAAAAAAAATCTGTAAGTTTTAAACTGTGTCATATTGAGTAACATGATGAAATCTTGCACTGTCCTGCTCTGACCTGCTTGGGACACGAACCATTACTTTGCCAAGTGTATTCATACTGTATATGCAACCTCCTCCTTAGTCACTTAGTAGCCATCTTTATTATCCCAGATGGACTGTGGTATTACGGTGCTTATGTTCAAAGGACACTTATTTTACTTAATGGCTCCAAAGTTTTAGACAGTGATGGTGCCAATTTGGTTAAGCCACAAAATGCTTCTCTTAAAAATAAAATTGCATGCTGTGGTTGCTAAGATCAACAGTAAGAGTAAATCTGCTATCTATGAAATTGAGAAGAAAAAAGAAATTCACACTAATTTTGCTATTGCACCACAAACTGCAAAATTACAACCACAATGTGTGTTAAGAGCTTAGTTAAGATAGAAATGGCACTAAATTATAGGTTTCATTATTATTCAAAGGTTCAGGCATCCATTGGAGGATCAGGGAGGGAGCTACTTTGTTCTAAATTCTACAATTAATTTATTCACACTGGGAAAATGCCTGACACACATGTATAGACCACAGTATGTTTAAGAATCAGCCTTTGGTTGCACCTACTCCACAGTGTGCATATCTATATACTACGGAATAACAAAACAGTTAGCAATCTATTTTTTAAAACTCCACAATTTTTTAGGCCACCAAAAACACTGGTTATTCCTTGTAGATATCACCTTAAAAGAAAAACTTTTCTGAAAGGTTCCTTCTCATTTGAAGCCTTAACTCATTTGATTACCTGACATGTTTATTTAATATTAATGTCTTGTGAAAATGACATATGCTTGATATACTCACTGTAAACTTCTCCTCTCTTTTCTTCCGATAGCCGAAGGAATTTTTCCTAGAGGAATGGAAAGCAAAAAAGGCTATTTTTTCCCCATTTGGAAAATTTACTGAGCATGTATTTATACTTACATATTCAAAGAATGCATCAACCAGACTTAATTACTTTGTAATCTTTCAAAGATGAATTTTGACTCTAAAAGCCCCACTTTTAAAAGGATAAAGAAAATAACAACAAGTGTGTAGTAAAGGATTAAAATTGATATCTGGAAAGCTAAACATTAAAAGGTATAAAAATATGTTTTAAAATAATTTACCTAGTGTCTGCTTAAAATTTTTATTAAGATACAAATCTACTCAGCTGGAATGACAAGATGTATATATAATGTCTGACATTCTAAATGTAGAAGAAATTCATCAAATGCATATTTGCTTATCATCGAAATTTCAAACACCCCAGATAACCTGTCCCACTCTCCCTCCCTCATACCTCTCTTCTGCTTCAATGACTTCCTTTACCACAAAAAACACACAAGGCTATCTAAATCCCAAGAGTTTTCTCTCCCTACCTGTGTGTTGTATGAAGAGCGTTCTAGATTCCTAGCATTCAAAATTAGATTCCTGCATGCAGCAAGGCTATGCTAGGCAGCACTGCAGCTTATAAATGCATAAACAAACATTTATTAAGTAGTAACATCATGTAAGGTCTTGAGATCACTAAGATGGCTAAGACATTCCCACTGCCCTGGAAAGATTTGTGGTTTAACAAGACACAAATGAATTTCAGTGTATGATTTTATTTTTATTCATTTATCTTTTTAATCTTTTCAACTGATTACAAATTCTTTCCCAAAGATCTTAAAAATAACCTTACTTCCTTTATTTACAGAAAACCAAAAAGTGGTCTTACCTAAGATGGCATTATTAATTAGAAGGATAAGCTTGAAACCTCACTTTCTGTATCAAATAGGGACACTCTATGGACCCTGTGGGGGATAGCCCATTTTGGAGAAGTACAACAAACATTTTAGGATTCTGGATCAAAGCCAGGCCATCTTTAGTAGAAAATATACTCTCTCCTTCTACAAAAACCTAATCCAGAATAGTTTCTGGCTATCTTCTGGGCCCTAGTAGACATTAAACTCCTGAATATGGAACTAGTGACCACTGACTTGAGCCGTCCATCATGGATAGTGCATGGATGCAGCAATCCACCATCCTGCAGGAACAGGTAGTACGGCCCTCAACCAACAGTCCTTCCTTGCCCTCAATCCACACCCCGACCTCCAAAGGAGCTACAGATCTGGATGGATGAGAGATGCAAGTAACAGGAATGAGATAATCTCAAAAGAGGGGTGTTGAGTGAACAGTGTGAGCAGTTGCTGCTGAAAAGACAGGACTGCAGGAACCCATGTGGGGACAGCCCTTTCCCATGGGTGGCTAGCTCATCACCACTATGGTGTCTGACCACAGTAGCTCCTTCATACTGGAACAGAAGCAGTGTCCTGGAGGTCAATCTGACTGCACTGGGATCCGTTAGCAGCATAATCAGTGGCCCTCACAAAATGCTCTCCTTGCCTTCACAGCACTTCACTAATACACTAGAAACCTACTGACATACTGGGACCATGTGACAATAGTCCAAGCTGAAATCTGCTGGCTAATCGCCCATCACTCAGAATGTGAATAGCTGAGTGAAGACAGAGCTACAGGCCTGAGATGGGTTCTAATTCACAACCACAAAGTGTGACCCAGTGTGGCTCTATAACCAGAGGTGTGGTTGCAGCATCATGGAGAATCACTGTTATACCAGAATTGGTGCTTCTCATTCCCACAACTTTGAATGCTGGTGGTTTGCATGTCTTAGACCCCAAACACGAAAGCTTCTATCACGTGAAACATCATGGTTCCAGAGACAAAACCTTAGACAGCCACCTGGCATTGAACCTGGCTGGGGTGACAAAAACTATGGGTAGCTGCTGTGCATGAAGGTAGGAAGAGCATGACTGGACCCACGGGGGGCTCTTTGAAAGCCTCTTAGTGCTTCAGTACAACAGAAAATGTTAGTGAAAAAACAAACCAACCCACCAAGGAGGCATAAGGGTGCCATGACCACCGTGGATCAGGTCCTTCAGGAAGGAAAGCCTGGATCACCCTGCTGAAGGGCCAATGGGCACTCAATTCTCTCTCTGAAGAAAGCACATAATGCAAAAAGAAAGAAGGAAATCACATGCTTCACCTCTACTTCATAGCCCACTCCTGAAACAAGGACTACGGAGGCTCTTTGTACCTTCACTGGCTTAAAAAACAAAAACAAACAAACAAACAAAAAAAAATGGACTGTAGGAACTATGCTGCCGTCCCTGGCTATTATACTCTAATGATGTGTGCTAGCTAAGCTCTGTTCTCTCCCCTGCATCACTGATGGCAGCTATATCCTTAGGCTATATCCTTATTACTTAGGTGGGAGCATGACTGAGAAGACGGTTGGAATCTCCTTTTGTACAAAATCTGCATTTGCAGGCAAAGGCACAGGCTTCAGAGAGTTGCCACACTAAAGTTCAAATATGGTTGGAGGATACAAATGGTGACAGTGTCTAAGAAGTATAGGGTGTTAGTTACCTACCTTTTTAAACTACTTTGTGATGTGGCTGGGATTATGTAAATCCCCTTGTCCTTTTGCCAAGAAGCTTCTTGTTAAGCTTTTATTAATACAGAGTACTAGAGAGGCACAGGGAGGTTGGAGAGGGCACAAGAACTTGTCTTTCCAGTTTGTACTCTTACACATGCCCATGACTAATGGACCCTGAGAGGTACCAGCATTGAGCTAGCTAGGCAGAGCCCTGTCCCTAGAAGTCTGTGCCTAGCTCTGCAGGCTCCTTCCTTCCAAGCTTCCAAGGTCTAACAACCCCAAACTCCACCCTAAGGTTGGTAGCTCCAGCTAGCATCACTAACTCAGTTTTATTCAATATTCCCCTTTCGTCTTTTCAGTCTTTAAAACCTGATGAACCAAATGTGTATCAAAACAGCTGCTGTTGTTTATGTTCCTGACTTATACTCAGTCCAATGCCAGTTCTACTAAACCATGTTGCCTGTGGCCACTCTTACAATCTCACCACCAGCTTCACAGATGCTGATTTAATCAGTACAGGTTGGAGTTAAAGAGGAATCCAGAAGCAGCTAATCCTATCTGCTTCTGGATTCCTCTTTAACTCCAAACTGCACCAAAAGCACATACAGGCACAACTCATTTTATTGTGTTAACCTCTTATTCTTTTTCAGACCCTTTTTTTTTTTTTTTTTTTAAATAGCAGAAGGTTTTGTGACAATCCAGGGTGAAGCAGAAGTATCAGTATAATTTCCTACAATATCACGTGCTTACTTTGTGTCTCATTTTGTTAACTCTGAAATACTACATCTGTTATGGTGACGTGACTCTTGAGGTTATTATTGCAATTGCTCTGAGTGCCAAGATCTATCTGCAACCACATCTCTAGCCACACTGGGTCACACTTTGTGGTTGTGAATTAGAACCCATCTCAGGCCTGTAGCTCTGTCTTCACTCAGCTATTCACATTCTGAGTGATGGGTGATTAGCCTGCAGATTTCAGCTTGGACTATTGTCACATGGTCCCAGTATATCAGAAGGTTTCTAGTGTATTAGTGAAGTGCTGTGAAGGCAAGGAGAGCATTTTGTGAGGGACACTGATCATACATACTGCTGACAGGATCCCAGTGCAGTCAGTGGTACAGCATTTGCCTATATAATTGATAAATGTGTCCTGGTGGCTCCACCAATCATTATTCCTCAGGCCTCCTGACTACCAAGAATACTGAAATTAATATTGAAATTAACCCTACTATGGCCTTCAAATATTTAAGTGAAAGAACGAGTCACACATCTATTGCTTTTAATCAAAAGCTAGAAACAAAAAAGCATAGCAAGGAAAGCCTATCAAAAAGCTACAACTGGCTGAAAGCGAAGGTATGAATGCAAAAGAAAAAAATGCTTGAAGGAAATAAAAGTACACGTGCATCATAATTGGACAAAAGAGCCTTATGGCTGATATGGAAAAGTTTTAGTGGTCTGGGGAGAAGATCAAACAATGTTCCTTTAATAAAAACCCTAATCCAGAGATGAACTCTAGGTAGGCTGAGAGGGGTGAGAAAGCTGAAGAAAAGTTTGAAGCTAGCAAAGGATGGCTCAGGAAGCTTGAAGAAAGAAATCTTCTCCATAACATCACAGTGCAGGTGAAGCAGCAAGTGCTGATGGAAAAGCTGCAGCAGGTGAGCCAGGAGATAAGCTAGGATGGCTGACAAAGGTGGCTGCACTCAGTGATGGGTTTTCAGGATAGATAAAACAGCCTTCTACTGGAAAATGCTGCCATCTAGATAGAGAAAAGTCAATGTCTGGTTTTAAAGGATAGGCTGATTCTGTGTAGGGGATGGGCAGCTGATAACTTCAACTTGAAGCCAGTGTTCATTTACCATTCTGAAAATCTCAGAGCCCTAAGAAATTACAGTAACTCTACTCTAATTGTGCTCTATAAATGCTACAACAAAACCTGTAAACAACATGGCTTAATGAATATTTTAAGTCCACCAGTGAGATCTACTGCTTGGGGTGGGGGAAGACTCCTTTCAAAATATTATTAATTCATTGGCAATGCAGATTAATGTAGTTTTCAAGCCTACTAACACAACATTCATTATGCAGTCCACAGATCAAGGAGCAATTTCAACTTTTAAGGTCTCTAAGACATACATTTCATAAGGGAACAGATACCACAGGTTATGATTCCTCTGATGATATGGGAAAAGTAAACTAAAAACCTGGAAAGGAATCTAGATGCCATGAAGAACCTTTGTGATTCATAGGATGGGACCAAGATATCAACATTTACAAAGTTTGGAAAAAGCTGTTTCCAACTTTCATTGTTGACTTTAAAATGCTCAAGAGTTCAGTGAAGGACATAACTAGAAGATTTAGTGGAAATAGCAAGAAAACTAAATTAGAAATGTAGCCGGAATTGCTGTAATCTCATGACCTAACTTTAATGAACAGTGGTAGGTACTATGGATGAGCATAAAAGGTGGTTTCTTAAAATGGAACCTAATCCTAGTAAAGGTCTTCTGAATATTGTTAAGAAGAAAAAGATTTATATTATTACATAAACTAGGTAATAAAGCAATAGCAGGGTTTGAAAGGATTAACTTCAAATATGAAAGACATTCTCTTGTTGTTGTAAAACAGCATAAACAAAGAGTCAATCAAGAGGCTGGAGCTCAGCAGTGGTGACTTGCCTTACACAGGTGAGGCACTGGGTTCAACCCTCAGCATCACATAAAACTAAATAAAGATACTGTGCTCATCTACAACTTTATACACACACACAATTTACTTATATATACTATATATTATTTACTTTATATATATATATATATTTTGTGCCATATATATATAAAAATAAAGTCAATCAACATGGCAAGAGTTTTAGTTTTGTTAGTTTAAGAAACTGCAACACGGGCTAGGGTTGTGGCTCAGTGGTAGAGTACTTGCCTAGCACGTGTGAGGCACTGGGTTTGGTCCTCAGCACATTAAAAAAAAAAAAGAATAAATAAAGTCATTATGTCCATCTACAACTAAAAATATTAAAAATAAAAACAAAAACTGCAAGAACCACCCCAGCTTTTAGCAACCCTAATCACTTACCAGTCATCAATATGGAGGCAAGATCCTCCACCAGCAAAAAGATTGGAATTTTAATTAAAGGCTCAGATGATTATTATTAGCATTTTTAAGCAAAACAGTGTTTGTTTAATTTTTTTCAGTTGTAGTTGGACAAATATTTTATTTTATTTATTTTTATGTGGTTGATCGAATCCAGGGCCTCACATGTGCTAGGCAAGCGTTCTACCGCTGAGCCACAACCCCAGCCCCCAAAACAGTATTTTTAAATTAAGGTATATACATTTCTTTTTTTTAAGACAGATGGTACTGTACTCTTACTATACTACTAGAGCATGGGGTAAATATAACTTTTATATGTACTAGAAAACCAATAAAATGTTTGTGACTCAGTTCGTTGCAATTTTTGCTTTACTGCAGTAGCATGTAACCAAACCTGCAATATCTTGGAGCTGTGCCTTTACTGTACCAGGAAGAAATAGGAACCAACACTTTTAGAGCTTCTGTATGTCAGTCATTGTACTATAAACTTTGTTTAGGGAAACCATAGAAACATCTTCACTTAAAACTTTTCAAGGTAGATTAAAAGAAAAAGCTCAGGGTTGGGGTTGTAGCTCAGTGGTAGAGCACTTGCCTTGCATGTGTGAGGCCCTGGGTTCTATCCTCACAACCACATATAAATAAATAAATAAAATAAAGGTATTGTGTTCACCTACAACTAAAAAATATTTTTAAAAAAGAAAAAGAAAGGCTCAGGAAGGATGAATTGTTTGCTCATCATTCATCAGAAAAGAATCATGATAGTCCCTATCAAATTAGCAACTAAGGAGATGAATTGCCCTAGTTAATACTATATAGGAGGCAAACTCCAGGCTCCACCTTCACCTTTTCTAACCTCACCTCTCCATAGAGGGAAGTATGTATATGTAAAAAGAATGAGAGAGAGAGAGAGAAAGAAAGATATCAAGCTATATCATGCAAACAGGGAGAAGGAAGGTGTTTCATTCATGATTCATGGTAAGAGTCCCAGGTAATGAAAAGACACTGAGGTACCAAGAGCATGAGACTATTTGTCCCAGTATGAAAATGTATAATAGACAGACATCACTTCACCATGACAGCTTCTCTTGATAGTTAAATTTAGTAGGAATAGAATTTAAATGCTGGTTTGCTTAAATATCAAACTCTAGTATGTGTCAACTCTAAGCCACTGCTAGGTGGAAAGGGAACAATCAAGAAGCCCATGGGACAAAGACAACAACCACAGTGAGACTGTAGGCATACAGTTGGAGTCTGAGAACTGCAGAGCTCTAAACTCCCTACAAGTGATGACTGCAACCTAGAAGAGTTCAATTCCATCTGCAGTTCTCATGGAATAAAATTTCATACTACACATATACACACACAAACCATTTAAATCCTCTGCTCTAAAAGTTAACAATTATCACAGCAAGTATACAAACCTTTAATATTTATAGTTTTCAGTTTAATTTTCTGAGATATAGAAAATAATTATAAAACATCTATATTTAAGAAATTTTAAAATATTAATATTTTAAGATATAATAAAAAGGACAAAACCCAGGTGTGCTCTATATCACCAGTCCCCTTAAAGTTTAAAAAAAAAAAAACCATTTTAAGACAGTGTCTTGCTACACTGCCCAGGCTGACCTTGAACTTGTGATCCTCCTCCATCAGCCTCTGAAGTAGCTGGGACAGGAAGTACCAGTGGTATGCCACCAAGCCTCACTGACACACAGTATCTTTTCAGCATCATATGTAACGACTTACCTTCCTCTCCCTAAACCAGGAGAGGATTCAAGACTACTTGGCTCCACACGCCCAGTTCCAATCTCTCTCTTGGCATAAGCTGAAGGATTTTGTATTCGAGTTCTAGTTTGCCCTGTTTGTCTTGTCTGTGGGCTCCGAACACCATTAATTAACCGATCTGCGGTGAAGTTAAATATTGATGGACTTTCCAGTAGTCCGGGTCCTCTCTCTGCACTAGGAATTGCATGGCGCAGATGAGATTTACTAGGATTCCTGTAAATGGAATGTTTGTACATGCTAAGTTATAAAACAAGGCATTATTTAACAAGCATTTAAAGCCAAACAGCTAAAATCTGTTCTCTACTTAACAAATATAAAAAATGTTATTTGGAACAGTTAATGTACAACACACACACCCACACACACACACACACCCACACACACACAGTATAATGTAATCATGTGCCAAGGCCCTGCTCTGCTCTAAGTCCAGGACAAAGTTAAAAAGCAGGCACACGTGGCACAGTTATTTCAAAGGCCTTCTCTGAAGACAATCTATTCCTTTATGCAGGCAACCAATTTTGGTGTTTAAGTTTTGCAGACTGTAGCTGAATATTTTCATTAGTTTTATTTCTGATGAGCATTTCTAGTGGTCAAATTTACCCCTTAACATATAAGGCAAATATACCTTTCTTACTTAAAAAAAAAAAAAAAAAATCAGTTAACATGAAGCTCATAAGCGTCTGAATCATGCGTGGAACTTGCCTGCTTCTAGGAGGATACTGTCTAAGTGAAGTCAGAGGAGATGCTGCAGGTTTGAAGGTCGGAGACGTAAACCCATTTATAAATCCAGTATTTGGAAATGGAGTTACCTAAATTAATTAACAAACAAAAAAAGTAAACATGTCATGAAATTAACTTCAATTTGATTTATATTATCATATCTTGGGGCAACCGAGGTCACTTCTTCCTGTTGTCAGAGATGGTAAGTAAGCTCCATATTATACCTAAAAATAATTGTGGACTAAGAAAAGCATCTTGCAAGACTATTACCAAAGGCTGATATTTATTGAGTGCTCACAACAATTAGACTGGTGCTAAGAACTTTTTCTGCATCATCTCAGTTTATGTTTATGAGAATTTAATGAGGAAGACAATTCACACATGTAAAACTGACACTAGGTGAGGACAGAACCTTACCCAAGATCACTTGGAGTCTTAGACACAGACATTATCTGAAAACATCCAAATGCTTGACCTAAGGGTTAATAATTATAATACTACCTCCAATCCCAGCAAGAAGTAAACAATTCTTTCCTCCCCAAAATCTTATAATCAAATTTCTCAATCTTAGGAGCATTCATATACTTACTCTAATTTTGCTTACTTCATTATCACAGCCCTTGAGAGTACAATTTTTTAACCTTTACCTCCATGCAAGTCTTGCTCTGAAGAACAGCATATTTTCAGATCCTTAATAATTATTCCTCAAGTCACAGTTTAAGGTAACACCCGACATATTAATATACTGATGTAAAACTCAGAAGACAATTATAAAGACTCTAGTCATAGAGCCTTTTACAGATAAAATCTTAAATATAATCCTAAAAGGTTAAAAATATTAATCACAGATTTTTAAACATAACCCAATTATTCAAATATCTGATTTGAATACACAAAAATAAAACTTACTGTTGAAATAGTTCTTCAAAAGAAAAAAGAAAAACTGATAAAAAGAGATCACTAACTTTCTGGCTTCTGGACCCACAGCCTCAAATAGTCTGTATGAATGACATTCTTTCAAAGGCATTAGCTGTTTGGAGCTTGCCAGTCCCCACTCTAATTTTTCTTTATTTTCCTTTATTTAGGTACCAGGGGTTGCTTATTAGCCAAATGCAATGTCTCCAGCCCTTTTAATTTACTTATTTTAAAAATCTGACAAAGGGTCTAAGTTGCTTGAAGCCTTACTAAATTACTGAGGCTGGCCTTGAACTCACAATCCTCTTGCCTCAACCTTCCAAATTGCTAGGATTACAAGTATGCGCCATTGCACCTGGCTCCCATTCTTAAAAAATTTCACTGAACTGACTGAAATATGTATAGCCCCTTCCATGTTTGATAAAAAGGGAAACAGAAAAGAAAAAGAACAAATGATTTTCTCTAGAGCTAACTGAAGTTGTAAGAGAAAAAGGGTATTACAGATAGTTTATCACTTACTGATTTAAAGAAAAATGCAACAAGAGAAATACTTAAAACTTATAAAGTAGAATCACTACTTGAAAAATTCTTCAATCAATAAAATTGACTATTTAAAAAACTATTTAAAAACATATCATTCCAGCTGGGTGTGGTGGCACACAGGAAAAAAATGATTGGATTGTGAGTCTTAACCACCAGTCAATTAATCCCTAATGGGATTAACTGAGTGGTGACTTGAGACAGATAGGGTATGGCTGGAGGAAGTGGTTAACTGGGAGTGGGGCTATGTAGTATATATTTTGTATCCAGAGCTGGAGTCTCTCTCCTCTTCCTGATATGAGCTGCTTCCCTCTGCCACTCTCCTGCCAGGATATTCAGCCTCGCCTCCAGGAGTATTGTGAGCCCTCAAAGAAACTTTTCCTCCTCACAGTTGCTTTAGTCACAGCATTGAAAAAGCTGACTAAAACAGCCAGCCTCAGCAAAAGTGAGGCACTAAGCAACTCAGTGACACCCTATCTCTAAATAAAATACAAAACAGGGCTGGGGATGTGGCTCAGTGGTCAAGTACTCCTGAGTTTAATCCCTCGTACCCACCACCCAAAAATAAAACAAAAAACAGATATCATTCCAGAATAGGTAGATTTTGGAGATTTTAAATCATAGGGAGACCAGTAAAGACTAATTATTTCACATATGTAATTTTACACATGGAACTCTGGTATTTCGAGTAATTTTGCTTAGGAGCCTAAAATAAAACAGATTAACAAAATAATTTAATAGTTTTAATTTAATAAAATAATTTTGTTTCATAACTTGCTGAGAATAAACAGGCACCATCTCTTTTCTTTTGCTCCAGTGTCACAATGTTTCAGAGCAAGTAAAAGAGTACTGGTAAAAGGACTGAGCTCACGTACTGTGCACAATCCATATTGCCATCTTTAAAAAAGCAGCCCGAGTGGAAAACACCAGTCAAGACCATAAATGACCTAGGATTTCCAAGAAGGTTCAGTCCAGATGCAGATGAATATAACTAAAGAAAGGGAATGACTACAGGAAGAACTGAGTCTGACAAGCATGGTGTTGGCCACATTTGGGGAGGACTTAGGGAGAGTCTAAGCAGTGTAGTTCCTCTAAGGTTCTTTTTTGATATATTTTTTTGGGGGGTAGAGGGAGAACAACTATATATCTATTTTATAGATGCAGCCATATTTTTAAAAGTAGTGCATCTTTTTTCCATTAGGATTTGTTCAAAAAAGAAGTAACTTTGAATTTTAGCCACTTGCATAAACATTCTTTTGCTGCAGAAGTTCTAGAATTTGGGGGGCTAATAGGTCAACCCCTTTAAGACCTTCTTCTCATAAATCAACTATCCTTGTATATCCTTTACAGGTTGTAAAAGCTATTTTCTAAATGGAGTATGATTTCATTTCCCTTGCTTAGAACCATAGATGACTTCCCAGAAGGTCAAAGTCCACACATGCTTCAGGACACTATGTAAGAACACTATAGTTTGGCATAACTTACCAGCCTTGCTTCCCAGATTCCTGAGCCCAGACTATACTTTTGCTCAGAAACAATCTGGTCCATAGTTATTTGCATGCTTTTGTGCATGTTTTTTGTTCTTGAAGCTTCCTTATCTTTGATCCCTTTTCAAAACTCATGCCCAACAGAGAGGCTCAATTTAGGTGACAATATAATATCCTATAAAGTTCTTAACTGATGGTATTTTATATGTGACCTTTTTTTGCAATTATCACCTCCTTGGAAAATCTGTCTTTTCAAGACTGAGGTTTTTCCCCATAGATCTTCATCTTTCACTGTATCAGCAATTAAAGTTGAAACAATAGTTCTCTCAAGTTCCCTTCTTTCACATGTACTCAGTTTTTCTGCCAGTAAGTGGCTCCCAGCCATCTGACCTTGAGTACTACCCAGTCTCTCCCTGACCCGGTCCACAGCCATATCCTAGATACAAACTCTTTTCAAAGTTACTAACTCAACTTTTATGTATTCTGTCGCTCTACCTCTCTCATTCCAACTAAATGAATCTGTATCCCTACCCCATGCAAACCTTCAATATAGGAACTTACCTTCTTTTTCTTACCCAGACCTCAACTTCAAGCACATTTATCACAGATTGCTGATTTTCCTGCATCCCATGCAATTAAATTCAAGCTAATTTCCAACTAGGAACAGCTGATCTTTCTAGCCATCTCTAGTTAAACTGTAACGGCCAAAGAAAAATGACTAGATCCATTACAAACTTATGAATTCTAACCACAGATCTTACCACAAGCCAGTATCTGTAAAAATTAATCATGTCAACTAACTCTGAGGCAGGTGTAAGAAGTAAAGTAAAGCTCTGCAAGGGCTGGGGATATGGTAGCGTGCTCGCCTGGCATGTGTGAGGCACTGGGTTCGATTCTCAGCACCACATAAAAATAAAGACATTGTGTCCACCTAAAACTAAAAAAATAAATAAAAAAAAAAAAACTCTGCAAGAAAGCATATATTCCACTTGTTCCAGACTAGTAGAAACTCACTTAAATACCTATCTCCTGAACAGCTCCCCCCTTGCCATTTCCCTCTATGCTCAGAGGGACATGAGTTATACCAGAGTTTTCACTGTATTCTACATTTTACAGGAGAAGAAATGCAGACTGGGTAAGGATCACAGTCACAGTGTTTCAAAGTTTTTGTGCAGATAGTTCTGACTATATCATCAAATAAATTTAAAATTTACAGCATAGCCTGAAGATCTGCTTTATTACAACAAACTGCATATATATCTGATTTCTGTATTAGATAAGGCATTTAAACTTTCAAAGTACCCAGTGGAGTGTCTATGTACAATATAAATGTCTGTTAAAAAAAAAAAAGACTTACCAAGGGTGGATCAAGATAGCTATGTGTTGTTGACCATGTCTGGGGGGTAATCAGGCTGTACAGAGGAAATTGTTGCTGGGGACTGTATACTGGAGGTAAATAAAATGATGTTGTATAACGCTGCTGTGTATAAAGGTTCATGTCCAGAGGTCTAAATCCATTCTTTGGCAAAAACGTGTTTATAGCTATTGCCTTTGCTTTTATCCGTGCCTGTTTGAAAATATTTAAGTTTCTATTACAATGCTTAAGAACAATGATTAGAAAACAAAGAAAATGTAATCAACTGGTCTTGCTTACCTTAATTGGCTTTCCTTGAAAAGTTTTTACTTCTTCTCGCAGGTATTTATAAGCCTAAGGGCAAAATCATCCAATTAGTCTTATAAATAACATGAACTAATAGTTAATTCAATAGCTTAAAAAAAGGATTCTATGATAATAAACAGGAGCAATAATAATGATTCTTTATCCTCTTTGGGTCACAAATCCTTTAAAATAACCTCAGCAAGTATGGAACCACTACACAAAATTCTCATAAACAAGATATATACCAATTTTACAAGAATTGAAACCATTAAAGTCTATCAAAGACCTAGGAGGAAATAAAGAATACTAAATACAAAGTTCCTAATATTAATCCCATTTGAAATCAGAAACATGAAATTCAGGAAATGAAATTCTAAACAGAGGGAAAAAAGATGAAAACTAGGGTTAGGATTGTGGCTCAGAGGTACAGCACTCGCCTAGCATGTGTGAGGCACTGGGTTTAATCCTCAGCATCATATAAAGTAAAATAAAGACATCGTGTCCATCTATAACTAAAAAATAAATATTAAAAAGATGAAAACTAAAATATTAGAAAGTCATTATTTATGTATAGCTGTCCCTTCTCCAAATTAGATCTATATCAAGTCCCTTACATAAGTCCAAAGGATCCACATATTCCCATTCAAGCTCATCCAACATGTTCTCCAAGCAGGTCAGCAGCACTCTGTTCTGTAAGCATAGTGCTTCCAATTTCCCATTCCTCTTTCTCTCCTTCTATCCAGTTAAAACCTATCTTTAGCTTTCTGCATTTTCTCTTTTGGACTTCCAGTAGAGGCTGCAATATTTAATACTGAACTCTGGAAAATTTGTTTCCCTCAAACAAGAGTCTCCTTTAAGAGCAAAGAAATATAAGTCCCTTAATTCAGCATGTCTCCTTCAAGGTGCTAACACTCCACAAGTGCCTACGAAAGCACTTTATTTATAGCACAGGTAAGCCCACTGAAAGACTATGGTTAGGTTCAAATCTCTCCAAACAGTAAAACCTTTCTTTACCTAGATGCAACTGATTTTCCTAAGCTGCTGATCTTACAATATTGTTAGACCATAATGTCACATGCTTTCTATATTGCTATATAATCTATCCACAGAACATCCAGTTTAGGTTTATACAACTCGATTTTGTCTGCACTTTATATCCAAACTTAACACTATGATATAATAACCTCAATGCCCAAATTTACTCTCACTTTGTACTAATATTAAATTACTGGTAAACTATGTACTTCACAGGGAGATCAAAGAGAGAACTTACCTGCTGTGCATCAGCTTCTGTTTCAAATGTAATAAACCAATTATCATTATAGGCAAATTCACAGTTTATAAATTTCGGTAAGTTATCTCCTTTAAATAGTGCTTCTACTTCCTACAGGAAGAGAGGTTAGATATTAATTCTCAACTATGCCACTTTTTGTCTCACTAAAAAAAGCATTCTCTTAAGCACAGTTCAACATGAGATGAGGCCTGGTAAATCTCTTTTCAAAAAAGGATAATGGGTTCAGTGCAGCTTCCAGAATTAGGACCACAATGACACAGGAACATAGTTACACAATTTACTGACAGCTTTCTTGCTTCCAAGATATCATTATGCTAAATTAATTTGAAAGATAAGATACCATTTTAACTACCAGGCTAATAATAATAAGTACATTATTTTGAAAAAAGTTAATTTAAAATCTAAAAAATATTAGCTCAATTTTTGCTGCTGGCCAAGATATGACATGATATAAACAATTACAAATGAAATTGGGTTTTCCAGCATTGGCCATCAGGTATTCTAGGAGAAGAGTCCCTGAGAGAGGGGACATGAACAAGGTGACCCTTAGAATGTTGAGCTCATGCCTAAATTCCAGAGCTCCATGGAGGACTCTCTCCAGGTCCTCAGCTTGAGCTTAAAATACCACCTGTGATGATCAGAAGGAATAACCCCAGACTGAGCTCATGGGCAGGGAAAAATTTGCCTTCTCACCAGTCAGAGTGGAAAACTGTCCCAAATTCACAGAAAATCAGTACTCAGAAAAGCACTGCCTCAGCAGTGGGGAAAGATGAACCCCAGAGAAAAGACTGCTCTGATTCCATCTTACTAATATTCCTAAAGGATCAAATTGGTTCAAAGTAATCGAGATGGGGTTTTGCTATTTTGCCCAGGTTGGCAGATCACTCAAGCAATTCTGCCTAAGATCCCGAGTAGTTGGGACAACAGGAACATGCCATCATCAAGTAATTTAACTGCATCTCAGAACCAAAATCAACAATATTTATCAGAATACAAAAATATTCAGTACCCAGTAAAGTAAAAATCAAAATGCTTGGCATTCATTCAAAAGCTAATAAGCATGTAAAGAAATAGAAAAATATGGCCTAAAATCAAACAGATCAAATTAAATCTAGAAGTGACACATATGACAGAATTAGTAGACAAAAGCAATAAAACAGTTACTGATTATATATTTTATATGCTCCAAAACCTGGGCTGAGAATGCTAAATGGAAATATGGAGGAATTTTTAAAAGACCCGAATTAGAGATGAAAAAAACAATGTCTGAAATGAAAAGTCCAATAAAGAGGATTAACAGCTACTGAGATACTTTCTGAAGGAAAAAAAAGGGAAAAGAGAGAACACATGAAAAATAATGCCTCAATAAGTACAAGAAACCTGAAAGCTTTTCCAAGGTTACCTGCTATCAAATTGTTTAAAATCAGTGATAAAATCTACAAGTCACACAGAGAAAGATGATTTATCACACAGGAATGAAGATTAAAAAAAAGGAAGACTCATTGAGAAGCACTAGAAATGGCAAATATTAGATAAATAAAAAACATTTTTTTATTATTTTTAATCTCCTTAAAAGAAAACTAAATTGTTCAAAGCAAACATAACAATGTATTGTGGGGCTTATGGCCACACAGAATTAAAGTGCAAAACAAGAGTACAGGGCTAAAGGTGCAAAATCAGAAGAATATTATTTTAAAAAGAAATTAGTATTACATTAATCTAAGGGTACACTCTAGGAAGTTTAATGCTGATAAACCATAAAGCAAGCACTGAAAAAACACGTATATCAGACTGGGGTTGTGGCTCAGTGCTAGAGCGCTCGCCTAGCACATGGGAAGCCCTGGGTTTGATCCTCAGCACCACATATAAATAAATAAAAAAGGTATTGTGTCCAACTACAGCTAAAACAATAACAAAAAAAAATACAAACACAACAATAACACGTATATCTAGTAAGCCAAAAAGGGGTTGGAGGATGGAAGAAAGAAAACAAAGAACAGCAGATGCAAAAAGGAAATAGTAAAATGACAATTTTAAACCCAGCAGCATCATTAATCATTTAAATATAAATGGGATACACTCATAATTAAAAGGCAAAAATTTTTCAGATTGGGTAAGAAAAGCAAAACTCCACTATGCAATGCTTACCAGAAACTCATTTTAAATGTAAAAGATACAAATGGAGATGACATACCATAATAATAATAAATGAAAACTGCAATGGCTACATTCATACCACACAAAGTAGACTCCGGAGAAAAATAAAAAGGTAAAATAGGGTCATTTCATTAAAAAATTACTAGCCAGTAAACCCTTCACAAAGTAAGGAAATTAATCAAATGACTATAAAAATTGTTTCCTAGAATTGTACACCTATTTTGATATGTAACACCTGATAAATAATTTTTGGCTAAAAGAGAAAACTAATACATTAATGCAGAAGTCATACTTGACTAACATAAGTTAGTATTACTACTTTTAAACTCAACCAATAGTCCTTTAGTACCACTAGGTTGTCAATACTGTATTGGAGTGGTTCATTCTTCTGCCTCTGTGAGATTTCTCTCTAAACTATTTTATAAAAATTGGATAAACAGAAGGGTGGGAAGGGGAGGGAGGGGGCATGGGGTTAGAAATGATGTTAGGAATGTGATGAACATCATTATCCAAAATACATGAAGGCATGAAATGGAATGAATATACTTTGTATACAACCAGAGATATGAAAAACTGTGCTCTATGTGTGTAATATGAATTGTAATGCATTCCATTGTCATATATATATAACGAAACACTGGATCAAGATTTCAAATGTTCTAATCAGTGAGAAGCATCTGGTTACATTTAAGGAATAGACAACTTTCTAGAAACTACCACCCCATACTTCTAAGCATCAAGAGATGGACTCTGCATCATACAATCCTTAGAAACTTATTTCCTATTCAAATTGTTTTGGACTACTTACTTTCCTTCTTTATTTCTCAACTTTATAATTTTCACAAGGTTTCTTCCAAGCCTTCTCTCTTAATTTTGCTCAAACTTTGACAACAGATTTATTTAAGTGAGTACAGTTTTGAATACAAATGATACCAAGATCAATGTCTACAGCTAACTGTAGAAAATTCTATTCAGTTACAATTTTTGTAAGCATTTCAAGTCTTGAAGAACAGGATCTATGTTTTAAATATTTTTTGAGCTAACAAAGGTATCTAGATGATGATAATGATAATAATAATAATATGATAGTCCTTCATATTCAAAACTTTACAACATACAACTAGTTTAAGTATCTTGGTGAAACAGAAAGTAAACTTTCTCTAAGAAAAAAACCTTTTTAAAAAGTAATATGATTTCTTACCCTACACCTACAACCTTTTTGGAATCCTTGTCTTTGCAATTTATTTTTCTTTCTGCTGTGCTAGGGAATCAAACCCAGAGCCTCATGCATGCTAGGAAAGCATTCTATCACTGAGCTCTATCCCTAGCACCAGTGCAGCTTAGTTAACCATTTGGAGAAGTAACAGATTTTATAGCAATGCAAATCAGTCGATTTCAATATTTTAAAACTATTAAATATTATGATTTATTCCTTAAAATTACTGCCCCAAGCCACTGCTTCTCTAATGATGATCTTCACATTCCATTTTCATGAACAAAGATGACTTTGCCTTTTTACTCTGAAGACATCTGCACTGATGGTGGAAATTCACTGGCAAATAAAAAAGTGGGCATAGTAGCCTGGATTCAGCAGCAACATCAATGGTGCTCAGGGATCTCTTCACAACTCCCTCTTTATAAAATATTTATTTAAAATAGTTATTTATCATAAAAGTGCCCTGTATCTTAATTTGGGGTTTATCATTATTTCTTATTAAATATTTAAACTCATTTTAACTTATAAATATTGAAATATACAAACCCTATCTTTTTAATGTAAAGTGTGTAAAGGAGCTCTGAGATTAAAAGAATTGAGGATTGTTCCTTCTACGAGGAAAGCACATCATAACTATCAGAGTGTATAAATCCTAGGAAAAGTGTTAACTGTTTACTATCTATTCTTAAATATAAGCCCTCCTAAACACATAGACAAAAAATAATCAAAACCACCAAAAACCTTCAGGAAAATGTCCAAGTACTCATGAGAGGAATAGTCACTTACTTCCACAGGGGTAGATTCAGAGATTTCACGCAGGATTACTATGCAACGATTTTGATTTGGCCTTACTTTTTCTCCCTTCTCATCCACTTGTACTAAAGGTAAAGCTGTAAAGGGGTGGGAGGAAAAACCCATAAATATTAAAACATGCCACTTAATTGGAAAATATCACACCATATTACTAAACACATTGAAGAAACCTGTATACAATGGAAAACCACAAGTTTTGTTAGTTTATCTATTTTTTATATTTATTTTTTAGTTGTAGTTGACATAATACCTTTACTTTATTTATTTATTTGTATGTGGTGCTGAGGATGGAACCCAGGGCCTCATGTGCTAGGCGAGTGCTCTAGCCACAACAAAACTGGGCTATCAAAAAGTTTTAAATCAACCTTGTATTTAAATTTTTCAAAATGAAGAAACATGGAAATTTTAAGTCCTACAAGTGGTTTAATGTATCTAACACTATGAAAGAAAGAGCAGCAGCTAAAATATTAGTAGATTAAAACACAGGATTAATGGTTTCCTCCTTTCTATAAGTCCCTAAAATATTGTCTGATTGTAACTTTTTATTTTGCAATATTCTAAATCTTACAGAAAGCTCTCACACATCCTTCACTCAATTCTCCCTAATGTTAACATCTTGCAATAACTCTAGTAGTGTCTCAGCAAAAATGGTGTTAGCTTCCCTGCCCCCTTCCATGCTGTGACCAAAACATTGACTAGAGCAACTTGGAGAAGGAAGTTTATTTGAGGCTCATGGCTGCAGAGAGTTCAGTCCACAGATGGCCAACTCTACTGCTCTATTTGCTTCCAAAGGTGAGGAAGCAAATGGGAAGGGGAAGGGAAGGGCCCATCGAAGTAAAGCTGTTCAGCTCATGATCAGGTCAGGAAGCAAACAGAAATGTGTATGTGTGCCCCACTTCCTCCAGTTGTAACTCACTTGCCTACAGTCCGTTCAAACTGATTAGGTTACAGCTCTTACAAATCAATCATTTCACCTCTGAATATTCCTGCATCAACAGGAGCTTCTGGAGGACACCTCATATCCAAACCATAACAGATACCAATGTTGGTGCAATACTCCCAAGGAACAGGCTTAATTCAGATTTCACCAGTTTTTATGTGCACCCTTTTTGGTCAAGTTTGTGTTTTCGTGTCACTTCTATGAAATTATTTTGTATCAATTCCAATTACAGCACATTATGGTCACAATCTAGACTCAGGGATATCTACCACCATCAAGACACAAATCACCAATAATTCTGACTCCCAAACTAAACAGACAGTATGAAAAAAATATTTCAGGCCAGTATTCCTCATGAACACTTCAAGAACTGGCAATTTGAATCCAACAATATATAAAAATGTAATGAATCATAAAAATGGGGTTTTCTCAGTAAGGCAATTTTTGCTTATCAATTAAAAAAAATCAAGCAATCGAAATCACCATTCATGAGTTAAAAAAAATACAACCATCACAGAGATGTAGGGAAAGTAATGAACAAAATCCAGCATTCATTTATGAGAAAAAATTTTCAGCCATCTAGAAACAGAGGAAACTTCCTCAATCAGATAAATGTCACTTGTGAGGAACCTAGAAATAGCCTTACACTTAAGGCAAGAAGCCTGAAATGACTCCCCCACACACCATAAACAGGAGCAAAGCAAGAATGTCTTTCTCCCTACTTCTATTCAATACTGTACTAGATCTTCTAGCCAATGCAATAATGCAAGAAACAGAAATGAAGAGCACCCAGACTGGACATAAAGAGGCATTCACAGACAAGTTTACCTATAGAGAAAATCTAATACAATTTTCATAAAAACTTGAATTTAGTTAGTTTACAAAATTTATATATAAGTGAATTGTAGTTCTATATACTTGCATCAAACTAGAAACTAAAAATATCATAATAAAAAATGTGAAGTAATTATAAATTTGATAAAAGATTCATGATCTATATATTAAAAATTGTAAAACATTGCTAGGAACAATTTAAAAGACCTAAATAAAGGAAGAGATATTTGTGTTCATAAAGTGGAAAAGTCAATATTGGTAATACATCAATTCTCCTCAAGCAAATTTTGACAATCAATTGTAATTCCAGTACAAACCCATCAAGCCTTTCTGAAAAATTACAATGATGATTCTAAAATTCAAAAGCACAAGGCGATGTAGTAGGAAAAGAAGTCATTTCAACAAATGGTGCTGGAACAGTTGCACATTAGATCAATGCTTCACACAATGTACAAAACCTAACTTAAACACACATACAAACACAAATCCAAATCTTAAACCTAAAACTATAAAGCTTATGGAAAACTTTTGTAACCTGGAACTAGGCAAAGATAACATAAGTATACCACCGAAAGGAAGAACTTAAAAGACAAAACACAGACACACACGTATTTCAAAAGACAAGAACAAAAAAGTGACAGACTGAAAGAATACATATAATTCACATTTAAACATCCATATGCAAAAAAAAAAATTTTTTTCATGTAAATATAGACTTTAATCTTATCACAAAAATTAGCTCAAAATGGATCACAGACCTAAATGTAAAGTGTAAAATCCTAGAAGAAAACATAGGTGAGATCTAGATAAACTGGGGTTGGCAATGACCTTTTTGACACACCACCAGACATTATCCAAAAAAGAACTACCCAATAAGCAGAACTATAGTAAAATTTAAAACACTTTCTCTGTGAAGTATGTCAAGAAAACGAGAAGCCAAGTCACAGACTGGGAGCAAAGATTTGCAAAAACCACATCAGATAAAGGACTGTTAAAATAAAGAACTCAAAGCTTAAAAATAAAAAAGGGGGCTGAGGTTGTGGCTCAGTGGTAGAGCGCTCGCCTAGCACACATGAGGTGCTAGATTCAATCCTCAGCACCAGGGCTGGGGATGTGGCTCAAGCAGTAGCATGCTCGCCTGGCATGCTGCGGCCCGGGTTCGATCCTCAGCACCACATACCAACAAAGATGTTGTGTCTGCCGAGAACTAAAATATAAATAAATAAATATTAAAAATTCTCTCTCTCTCCTCTCTCATAAAAAAAAAAAAATCCTCAGCACCATGTGAAAAAAAAATAAATAAAGTGAAGGTATTGTGTCCAACTACAACTAACTTAACTAAATAAATAAAAATTAAAAATCAAAAAGGAACAATACCATTAAAATGGGCAAAACACCTGAAAAGACACTTCACCAGATAGATGGCTAATAATCATGAGAGAATATATTCTCAAGAAAAAGTAATTTGGGTGGGTTATTATAAAACTAAATATTCTAACCACATGAATCTACACAAATACCTGTACACAAGCATTTATAGAAGCTTTATTCATAAATGTTAAAACCTGGAAGCAACCAAGATGTACTTTGGTAGATGAATGGATAAACTGTGGTACACTCAGACAATAAAATAATATTCAGCACTAAAAAGAAATGAGCTATCAATCCCTGGAGGAAATTTGTATATTATCAAGTGAAAGAAACCCATCATACAGTATATAAAACACTGTATGATTCCAACCCTAAAATATTCTAAAAAGGGTAAAATTGTGGAGATAGTAAAAAGATTAATGATTGACACGGGTTCAGGAGGAAGAAAATGAATAAGCAAAGCATAGAGGATTTTTAAAGCAGTGAAACTGTTCTGTATGATACTATAATGGTGAATAATTATTATTATATATTTGTCCAAACCATAAAATATATCATCAAGAATGAACCCTAATGTAAATTATTGACTCTGGGTGGTAATGGTATGGTAATATAAGTTCATCAGCTGTAATACATGCTATCACTTTGGTGGGAGATGTTATTTGTTATTTATACTGTACCTTCTTTTGCTGTGACAGTAAAACTGTTCTGAAAAATAAAGTATATTTTAAAAAAAACACTGGGCAGGGGATAGAGCTGGTAGAGTGCTTGCCATACATACACAAGGGCTTAGGTTCAATCTCCAGCACCACAAAAACAAACAAACAAAACAAAAAAACCCAAAACAATGAAACAACAACAGCAACAAAACCCCACTAAATAGTAAAGGAAAAAAACCAGTAAGGAAATAGAAATTAATACCATAGTGAGATACCACTAAACATCTAAAATTAAAATGAGCGTATTCAAGTGTTGGTTAGGATATGTAGCAACTGCAGCTTCTATCTCTTCTGGTGATATCCAACTGTAAAATGGTCCAACCACCTTGGAAAACAAGTGGGTGGGTCCACAAAGTTAATTATAACTCTAACACACAATGCAGACATTTTACTCCCAGATATTGACCCAAGAGTAAGGGAAGCACATGTTAATACAGTTCTACACAAGTGTTCAGAGCAACTGTACTTATACTAGTCAAAATGTGGCAATAACCTAAATATCTTACAATGAGTGGGTGAATAAACCAATTGTCAATTCCAGTTCAATGGAATACTGATCAGCAATAAAAAGCAATGACCTACTGATATACTCAACTACAAAACAATTATGCTGAGTAAATAAAGCCAGCCATTGCTCCTCAAAAAAAAAAAAAAATTACATAATAGATTCTATTAAAATCCAAACTAATTTGGGGCTTGGGCTGAGTGATAGAATGCTCGTTTGGCACACATGAGGCACTGGGTTCGCACCTCAGCACCACATAAAACACAAAATAAAGGTATTGTGTCCACCTACATATAAAAAACACATATTAAAAAAAATGCAAACAAATCAATAGAATGCAACCAGAGCACCTAGTGAGGGAATGGAGGGAACCTCTGGTGAGTCATGGAGATACAATAGTGATAATTTCATGAGTATACAAATGTCAAAACTTATCAAATGTACACTTAAACATGTGTAGTTTATGGTAAATTCTACCTCAAAAAACGACAATAAAATAAATACTAATGAAACCCTCAGTGCCTCTCCCTTTCCTAATTCATGTGCCTCTATAACATTTTACCGTGAATTAGAAATTTCATTCTTATTCAGGATTTTATACTATTATCATGTGCAACTGATTCCATAGAAAAAGAGCTCTGTTTTACACATACCCAATATCTATACACTTGATATCATGTAAATATTTGGAAATATGCTTTTAAATCACATTATGGATTTAAAATTTTATTCTTCTTGAAAACATGTAGTTCCAACTCACTTTTTGGTTCTAACACATACCACAGGAACAGAACACAATGTTGTTTCTTCTGATGACAAGTACTTTGGTGCTTTTTTTCAAGTTGACAATTTTAACCAAAATGGGTTTGTAAAACAAAACATTTGAAGCAGATACACTGTGATATGTACTGTGTGTATTATGACACAGAAATAGTTTAGAAATTAGTTTTATCTAAATAACAACAATGTTATATTACTCAAATTCAAATGAAATAATTTTAAAGTGTCCACTGTATATCTGACTCTGCTAAATATTTTGAGGATAACAATAAGATGAAAAAAGGCTTCTGAGGGCTTATTTATGTCACCCTCTTTAGAACTACAATGGATGTAATATTCTAACTATATTCTGATCACAAAGATATGTGCACATTTCTTTCTGTTCAAAAACTGAATGAAAAAGAACATTAGATAATAAAGTGCTAAACTGAAATGGATAAAAAGTAACATTACAACTGAAAAATTACCTTCAAAGGGGCAACAAAGTTTGCACTGTATACTCAAGAGGAATAATTAAATATGGGATACCTAAGAATAATCAAAAGACTTAACAGAGTACAGACAAGTACAAGAAAGTTATTGGCCTTGTAAAGTAGATTAAAAATTGGATTTCTATTCTAAATGGCAAAAGTGGGAAGTAAAACATCACCACGGTGACATTCAGAACTCACAGTTAATGGTAATAATGTTAGCCAATTTCTTCATTTTTTATAAAGCAACAGAAAAACAGAAAACAAAACTTTTACTTGTGACTAGAAAATAAAATTACTAGTTCAAAGGTTAAGATGTTCATCTTTTTACAATACTGTAAAGTCAAACTCACACAAGAAAAAAATATGTGCACTGACTGTATCTTCAGTACACAGGGACAGAGACAAGGTGGAAACAATTGCCTCTACAGAAGTGTAAGTAATGAAAAGGCATGATGATAGTGAGAGAAACAAAGCTTTAATTCAGGCATAGCAATGTGCAATCATTCAAAGATATGTATGCAGTGGTGGGAGAGGAATTGTGCACAGTTCACACTGTGAAGGACACCCATCAAGTTGAGTCTAATGAGGGAAACTACAGGAACCATTCACCTGGTATTTGTAGCTACAGTATAAAATGTGAATTTCCATAATTAATCCAGTTCAAAAGGAGCTCAAAATATCACACACTTAATAATGAAGGAATCTGCCTTTAGGCAGGAGGAATCACCAGGGCTCCAGAAACTCAGGGAACATAGGGGAAGTGGTGTTCTCTTATGATTTCAGCAATACATTCATTCAAAACTGATTGAGTATACATTTTGAATATGCACACTCCAAGTCACTTATGCCTACATAAAGGCTGTTTTTCTTCTTTTAAAAAATAAAACAGGTTATAGAAGCTTTAAATGTGCAAAGCAAACTAGAACACAATCTACAATTTCGTACAACAAGCCAACATTGAATATAATATCTACATTTCCTGAAATTCCTATAATTAACTGATGTAATGTTTATACATTTGATGCTGCCAAATTTGGGGGGGGGGACTTCATTCAGAATATACTTTAAGGAAAAATGCTACAATGTTTCATCAAAACTTAAACAAGGAACTTATGGAAGTGAAATTTGAAAGAAACTCTTTTTGTGGCCAAAATGCTAATTAAAATGTATTTTATTTTAAGTACTTTGTTTTCATGAATGCAACAGCTGTCTTTATAATCTCCATTTAAAAAATTCATTTTCTCCTTCAGATGATAAATAAGCAGACTGAGATTTTGTTATGAATTCAGTGTTTCCATTATTGGGACCAGTAAGAAAGGAATGAAAGGCTAAGGAATATTTGATTTCCCAAAAAGTACTATTTGGTGACTGGTAGATGTAAAGAGTCCCCGATCAGACAAACGGTGTAAAAACAAGTGTAATTCATTTCAAATTGTCATTTACTTACATCTTAGCACTTCAACAATTAAATCCACATCAGTACTGAGTTTTTTGATATGGTCAAGGTTAGCTACCGTTGTAATTGGCACATACTGATCACTATCCATCTGCGATATGAGATACATGTCACTAGCAAGATTCTCCCTGTTGAAAGAAAACAATCTCTTTTAATTGATATTCCTTTAAAAAGAAGTTTCATCTAGTGCAATATCAGTTTCACAAGATGTACAAATGTGGCATGGTACGACTTTGGGGTTGGATGTGGGCCTCCCATCTGTTATTTGCTCTTTCTCTGTCCATAGGTTTATTTTTTCCAAGACACTTGGAGAGATAGAGCAAAAGATAGAGCAGATAATTATTCTTGAAATGTAGTTATGGCTTATCTTTGTTCTAAATAGTTTTTGAGTAATTTATTAAAAATACACACAGAAGTTTTTCTTCTTCTTCTTATGCTAAGGAAATCTAGCTGAATGAACAAGGAAAATATACATATAAAGGCCAAGATAAAGTCAGTACCCAAAATGCATGCTATAAAATCTGGATACTTGCTAGAGAAGCTGCAAATCCAGCTCTGGCTTCCTAGCAGCCAGAATTAAAAGGAAGAAAACAGGATCAGTATAACTTCATGCACAGGGTCAAAAGGTAAGCCACAAATAATCTGCAGTTCAGGTTAAGATGAACAACTTCCTAGTATTTTGGTCACAGCTAAATGTTTCCTGTGAATTCGCAGGAAACAGACAATGTGTGATATAATGAGCAAGGCCCTCAAAAACACCTCATAACTGAAGCACAATAATGGATTTCATAGGACTCTTCTTACAATGTCCCTTGTGAGGGAAATACTCTTCTATCCCTCATCTCACCTAGCCATTGCACAGATGTGGGTGATTCTAGATTCATGAATGCTAGATAAAGGTTTGTGAGTAAAAGAGACATAGGTTTTTCAAATTTTACTCCATCTTTTGTTCTTAAATTATGCCACTATACAATATACTCAATGCTCCTAATTTGTGATAAAATGGAAGTGAAAGGAAAGCCCAGCACAGTCCCTCCCTCCCTCAATCTCACATAATCCTGCTATCTTTTAGTGCCCCTTTATCAGACAACTCCATGGGTTCCTCAGGGCTTGAGAGAACACTTGAAAAATCAAACTGAAAGAAAGTTTTTACACATGGCCAATCAGTTATCTCATTCTCAAATCCTTTACATCTAGTTTTGGCCGTTTGAGCTTTAAAGATGCTACTATGTTTCACTATGAAAGGTATTATTTGGAGGGGGAACCCACAAAAGTAAACATATGAGTGCTATGTAAATAACAATTTGTTATTGCAATGTCTGGCACAGTCTAAGTGACAACATAGGAAATTTGCTCTCAGACTTCACTGAGGCTCAAGATTCTAAGACTACCTGAGACTTTGATGCAGTGGCATGGGGGCAAGGAGGGAGCAGGTAGGAAGTCAAGGAATCTTTATTTCAAATAGCTAAGAAGATGAATTTGAGGCTCCAACTCTGGAGACCACTGACCTGAGGATTATGATCAATTACCTAACATGCCAAAAGTCTATTTACTCATTATTCTAGATATCTAATTCACACACACAGAGTATTCACACATATCTTTTAGTATATACATGGTCTTCTATGTAAAATCACATTTATAGATAATAAATAATACATACCAGCAGGGATATTCAGTACTAGAAAAACTAGTCTTACCTAGATAAGCAGAATTCCAATGTTTTTTTAAGTACTTCCCGGGGATCTTCCTGGCTTTCTGGTTGAGACTCATTTCCTCCTATATAAAAGTAATAATCAATTCAGGAAAAATAGCTTAAAATTTTCCAACCTGATAATTTAGTATGGCAGTTCTAGTACTTTCAATATACTTATTTACACACTTGTACCCATGCATGAAATAAAGAAGACTTCTATTATTTTACCTATTAGAAAAGGGTAAATCATGTAAACAAAACAGTCTCCCTCTCTCTTCCCTCTAAATCTAAAACATCACAATTTAAGGATTAAATAGCTTCTACACTAGAGCATTAAATTCGCCTTTAAATTTCCAGATAGGCAAAGCAATAAGTGAGAAACTGTCACGTTCTTGTCAGATGATACTAAACAAATCAGACACTCAAAGGACATAAAAGTTCATTCTAAATCCCAGAACAAGTTGCTTATGAGAAGGTGTCAGCCAGTATGACAGGTGACTTAAGTGTGTATGGTCATAGACCACACCAGGCAATAGATCATGGCCTTCTACTGAAGCGAACCCAGGTTTAGGCCAAGACACTCCACCACCACCTGCAACACTCTGGACACAGGTTGTTTCAATAATGTTGAAATGAAAAGAACTGGAGTGCTAAAACACTAAGATTTTTCATATGCTGCCATATAAATCAGCCTGGTTAATTTATGTGTCAATCATATATGTGATTATGTTCCAACCATATATGTGCAAGAATAACATAAGAGACATTGGTAATTTGAAAGATTTATGTTAAAGAGCATGAAAAAGAAAAAACAAAGCAGGGGCATTTAGAACAAACGGACAGAAAGTTCAGGTCACTATTATATAATGAGGTTTAACAAAATCCACTCTCAATAGCAAAAAGAAAACAAAACTGCTAAAACAACCAAAAGCAAAATAAAGGAAACCACAAGACATGAAAATGAAAACTAAAAATAACCTATCATTCCCTTATTCAGAGGCTTCTCCTAGTCATTCCATCTAAATTCACATCCCATCCTCCATATTTAAGAGATACTTACTAAGTATCTCCTGCATACTGGGATCTGTTGCAGGAACTGTGAATTCAGTCCAAATAAGGCAAGGCCTCTGCTTGTGTAAGGCCAACATTCCAGAGGGAGAGACAGACAATAGGTAGTTAAATAAATAACTACCCAACATAATGTGAGATAGAAACCCACAAACAAACCAGGATAAGAGGCCAGAGCTGCATGATGCTGATCTAGATGGGAAGTGACATCCGATCTGATGGGAAGGATGTGGAATGTGCCAGGCAGTGGAAAGTGAGTTCTAAACTGGGCAGGTACAGGGACCTTAGAGGGGTAGAGTCAACAGATAGTAAGGAGGCAAAGGTATAGTAAGGAGGCAAAGGTAACTGAGAAGCAGAGTGAGAGAACCTGGTAAGTGAGGTCACAAAGTGGACCTATGAATCAGATCAAGAAGGATGTCAGAATTTAATAGGACACCAATTCAGAGCTGACATTTTTTAAAATTAATTATTTTACCATCTCTCCTGCCCCATGCTCCCTCCTACCCCTGTGTGCCCTTTGCCCAATCACAAATCCTCTACTTTTCCCATGCCACACCCCACCCCCAATTGAGGATCAGCATCCATTTATCAGAGAGAGAACATTTGGCCTTTGGTTTTTTGGGATTGGCTTACTTCACTTAGCATGATATTCTCCAACTCCATCCATTTACCTGCAAATGCTATGATTTTATTCTCTTTTAATGCTGATAAATACTCCATTGTGTATATGTACCACAGTTTCTTATCCATTCATCTACTAAAGGGCATGTAGGTTGCTTCTATAGTTTTTGTGAATTGAACTGCTATAAATATTGATGTGGCTGCATTACTATTACTATTTGTTGTTTTTAAGTCCTTTGGGTATAGACTGAGGAGTGGGATAGCTGGGTCAAATGGTGGTCAGAAATGACATTTTGGAAAGACCTCTTCAGTTTGATGGCGCATGTTGACTGTGAAAGGTATAAGAGGGAAAAGGGGGACCAGTTGGGAGGCTAACACAATAATTAAGGAGACAACACCATTTAGGACTCAAAATACAGATAGTACTTAGGTCAAGAGTGGAATTGAGAAGAGTACCAACATCTACACCCAGGGCACTCCAACCTCCAGTAGAAAGTAAGAGGAGGAAGGCCAAAGGACACAGAGGAGCTGCCCAAAAGTCAAGAATAGTATCAGCAGAACAGCAAGTTGAGAGCTGAGAGGAGAGAAAAAAATCGTTTCATATGAAGGATCTGCAGCTATAAAAAAAGACATGGTAATGTTAGGTAAGTATATAATGAGAATTAACTACTGGATCTGACCATACGAGGATCACTACAGAGCTTGACAAATGCAATTTGGGGGCTGAAAATACAACTGTCTGCCTGAAGGGACTGCCTAGGAGATAAGGATGTGGGGGCAGCCAGCAGAGAAAACTGTTTTGAAGCATCCTGCTGGGGGAAGATGGGCTGTCTAGGGTGGTTCCACTTCAGATAAGTGATGAAATTGCATTACAATGATAGGAAATGATCCAGCAATAAAGAAATCCATGACTCTGTAGACAAAACAAAGGATCGAGGTTTGTGATAATGTAGAAAAGGAGGGCTCACTTGAGAGATTGCAAGGTTGGGTGGTGTCAGCAGACACCAGATCATCTGCTTCCAGAGACTGGATTTATTTTCCTTTTAAAAACAACAATGATAACAACAAAACAAATAAAATTTTCCAGACAGGGGACATCAGGCAACAAAGGACATGAAACCCTGAGCACCAAGAATATGTGCATTAACCTTCTGGTGACCTTAACCCGCTACCTTGAGAGAAGAACTAGACCAAACAGAACATCGAAAGATGAGAACTATAATATCTGATATTAAAAATACTTGAAATTAAGAGATCAGACATTATAGAAGACTAGTAAACTTGAAGACTCAGCAATAGGAACTTCTCAAAATAAATGCAATTTTTATAATTGACAGAGGGGGCGATATAAGAAATAAATTATGGGATAATTTCAAATAGCTTAATTTAACAAGAGACAATGTTACAAAATGCTCAAAGCCACTGATAAAGAGAAAAACCTGTATGTACATGGGAACAAAGAATACCAGAGATGGTAACTACATATGTAAACATGTAAGCTTTTTATCTTAATACTATTTAAGATCTCTTTAGCAAATTACTATCTTTTAAACAAAAATAAAACAAATAAAAAATAAATATTTTTAAAAAATTAAAAACCAGTTTATAATAAATATAATTGTAACATGGAACAGTGATAAAAGCACCAAGGCAAGGTGGTTCCTGCGTTCCATGTAAAGTGGTACACACGGGCCTGAAGGGAGACTCTGTATAAACACCAACCAAAGAACCACTCAAGCAACAAACTGAAGTAAAAGAAACCTAATCCAGCCAGTCGAGATAATCCCTCAATTGCAATCCCATGGATTTAGGAGGCTGAGGCAGGAGGATTTCAAACTCAAATCCAGCCTCAGCAACTTGGCAAGATCCAAAAATAAAAAGGGGCTGGGGAAGTGGTTTAGTAGTTAAGTACCTCGGAGTTCAATTCCTGGTTTAACAAACAACAACAAAAGCAGCAGCCTATCTAATGGAAAGGGGAAATGAAGAACAAAGAATATGTGAGACAAAAAGAGAACATGCCTGGAGCCCAGGGTATGGGTTCTAATGTCATTCTCCCATACAAAGAACTAGGGATCCTTGGAGAAATTGCTGATTGTAGTAAGAAAAGAAAAAACAAAAAAACCCAAAAAGTCCTACATTGACAGGAATAGTCAAATGGAGCCAACTAAGAGTTTCCCAAAGGCCAAAGCCATAACAACTTGGGCAATAAAATACTACTGGATAATTACCCAAGTACAGAATAAGCATTTCTGAGTCCATACTGATACAAGTAAATAGATGCATAAATAAATAAAGAAGAAACAAATCACCCATGTACAGAATTTCAAACAATTTATTTAGACTCTGCTTTTATAGAAGAAGACCATAAATTCCTTAAGTTTTCTCTATGCAGAGGAACTTCCATCCTAACAGTAGAATACAGAAAGAAAGAAACCAAAGGGTAGCTTTACAGTTCAGAAATATGACAAATGCTACTTCAGTCAGGTGATCAAGACATGTCCCTTTGACAGTGTGTACCCTTGATATGATATAATGAAAATAGTGCTTTACCTCTGTGGTCCTCCTCCCTAGTCCAAATACAAACATTATGCTAAGAAAAACATCAGAAAAATTCCAACAGAAGAGTATTCTACAAGACACTTGACAGTACTCAAACCTTCAAGACTGCCAAAAACATGGAAAGTTTGAGAACTCAGGCCAAGAGAAGCCTAAGGAAGTGTTCTAACTAAATATAAATGGTATCCTAGGATTCTGATACAGAAAAAAGCCATCGGGGTAATAGGTATCGCTCTTGTTTTAGTATTGGTGACAAATATATTAATGTAAGATGTTGACAGAAAAAACTAGATTTGAAGTAGTCTGTCCTGGGGCTCATGCTAATTAAGATGAACAGAATGCTGTGTCTTAATTTAAAATGGTTCCTTTTCCCCTTTCTCCTGCCAGAAAAACTAGATCCCCTCCCCTCCCTAAGTATCTGGATGACTCCAGGAAGTAAAAATTTATAAAAATTATGGGACCTCATTCTGACCGAGCCTCTAAGTGGTCTTTAACTCAGTCTTGTCCACCCCGTGGCTCTAGCAACTCATTGGTTATAATTCAGGTTTTCCTATTTTGGCTCAGGTTCCTGCAGAGAGGTTTCTGCTCAGTAAATTGTTGATTCTCTATTCACCTCTCTGTCTTTTTCAACTTTGTAGGCAGTTGGTTTACCCTGTGATCACACATTTCTTCTAATAAGAGATTTTTTTTTTTCTCTCCTTTCTTAGCTTCTTCACTTGTTAGGACAGAACAGTAACTTTCAAGAACACAAAGTTCAAACATGCTTGCATATGCCTGTGTTTTTGGTGCTGTCTATTTGTTCATTTTATTATTGGGTTATTTTACTGAATTTTATCAG